GAGAGGAAGAAACAAAGTTACCATTTTGGGGCCAGTGCGACCCTGTTTCAGAAGTGTTCAACTGCAGAAATGTCATGAATCTTGGTAAATATCCCATGATTTTTAAACTAGTTATTCACTGGAGTATAATAATACAGTTTCATGGAGCTTTCACCCATTTAACTGTAAGACTCATTAGAAAGCATTGGGTCATTGGTAATCTTTGCCAGTTTGGATGTGAGTCTGCAGGCTTCTGGTCCAGCAACTGCAGGCTACCTTCCTGCACAGTTTGGCATCTTCATGATACAAAACTCTTGCTTGTTTCAGTTCCCTCTGCCCAAATTAAAACCGGCACTGTCGTCTTGAAAAGACCAACCAGAAGAAATGATCAGAATGCTTGTCACATTTTTCTCATAACTATGCTGCATACAAATGTACACATTAGCAAAAAAGAGAGGTTTTAACTCCCACTACCCATCAAAACCATTTGATGCAGAAGTTGAAAGTGATTCAGTGATTCTTTTCACTAATTCCCGGGATCAAGGCTTACCCATGTGGTTGAGCTGGAGTGTGTTGAATCTCTGTTAATATGCTTAAATGCAAAACGGGCCCCAAAACCACTTTCATGATTGCTGGGTGATTAGCCTACTCAGTGAAAGCCACTGGATCTGAAGTGAAGACTGTCCTAGGCAGGTTTTTACTAAAAAAAAATTTAATGAAACCAGGAGAAGTAGTTCTTTTTTGCATTCCAAAAAAATAGTTGTGGCAACTGCTGCCCAGGGATTCCCATCTCCATTTCCTTAGTATGTGTTCCCAAACCCATCCCTGACCTGGCGTATTACAGACGAAGTGCATTTTTCTATTAAGACATGCATTAACAGGGTCTTCCATGATTGAGTGTTTGTGAAGAATAAGTTCACGAAAGCTGCTTCTGTAATCAAGCCCTGCAATTAAGCAACAGTCATGCAGCAGAATAGGGTTGGCCCACAGCCCATAATTGTTCATCTATTCAAATAAATCGATTACTGCTAATGTCAAAATTACTCCAAAGTTCAAATGATATCCTTTTTCTCTCCTACTTATGCACAATAGCGTTGCTTGTTGTTTGGAACCATATCATCAGTCAGATATTCCTTCAAATCCCTTGACCAAGTCATAAAGCTTTAACATGGGAATAGAAACAAGGCAATAGGAGTAGGCTGTTTAGCCCATTTAGCCTTCCCTGCTATTTAATTGTATGATTAGCCATGTTGGTATTAAAGCATTTTATCCTCGACATCACCTCATCCCATAACTCATTGGTAATCAGAAATCTATTAATCTCTATCTTAAACATACTCAAAACTGAGCCTTGCAAAGGTTCAAAATCTTCTGAGTAACAATTTTTTTGGGAGCGAAGTGCTATTGTCTTATTTTTAAATTGCACCCCCTGGTTCTACATTTCCCAACCACTTCATCTCCCCTGACTGTCCCTTTTAAGCATTTTGTAAGTTTCATTGAGATCGCCTCTCATTCTTTGAAACTCAAGAGAATACAGGCCCAGTTTGCCCACTGTCTCTTCATAGGACAGTCCTGCCAACATGGGAGCAAATCTAGTGAATTTTTGTTGCAATGATATCTTTTCTGAGATAAGGAGAACAAAACTGTATGCAGTACTCTAGGGTATGGTCTAACCAAGTTTCTATGCTGTTGAAACAACCCTTTACTACTGTATTCAAATCCTCTTGCAATAAAGGGCAATGTTCTACTAGCCATCCTAACTTGCATGTTAGTCTTCAGTGATTTATCAACAAAGACACCTAGGTCTCTTTTTACATCTACACTTTCCAACTTCTTACCATTTAAGAAATACACTGCACAACTATTCTTCCCTCTAACTTGGATATCCTCGCATTTTTCTATATTAATGCTTCATCTGCAATGCTCTTGCCCACTCACTAAGTCTGCCCAAATTGTTCTGAAGCTGCTTTGTATCTTCGTTACAGCACATGTGCCCACTTAGCTTTGGATTATCTGCAAATTTGGAAATATTACATTTTAACCAAATGCCCAAATATGGAACATGCGGTATCCCAGTCACAGTCTGCTAACATGTGAATGACCCATTAATTCCTACTCACTAGTTTCTGTCTGTTACCCTATCCTTCATCCATGACAGTACGTTAGCTCCTATCCAATATGTGTTAACTTTTCTAATCAACCTCCTGTGGGAATCTTTATGAAAACTCATTACATTATCTTAAAAGACACTTTCAGACAAAAGACTTCTTTTCCACCTGCGATTAAATAGTTAACTATATTCCTTTACACCAAGACCCATGCCATCAATAATCTAAAATTCACACATAAAAGAAGAGATATTTTATTTCATGCCTTTCCCATAAATGGCATTTAGATTTATTGTAGCCATTAGTATTTTTAGTTGATACTCTGTTGTTCTTTACTAAATAAAAACCAAAAGAACTGCAGATGCTGCTGTAAATCAGGATCAAAAACATATAGCTGGAATAGCTCAGCAGCATCTGTGGAGAGAAAAGAGAGTTAAGATTTCGGATCCAGTGACCTTTCCTCAGAACCCATTCTGAGGAAGGGTCACCGGACCCGAAACATTAACTCTGATTTCTCTTCACAGATGCTGCCAGATCTGCTGAGCTTTTCCAGCAATTTCTGTCTTTGTCTCAGTTGTTCTTTGGTTGTAATGTATTTGCTTTTAATTTTGAAGGGAAACCTTCAATATTTCAATACATCTATGCATAAAATTACTAACTACATAGCTCAAATCCCAAGCCCGACAATCAGATTTTAATGTTGAAAGTTAGCAACACTAAAATGTTTCATATCTATAAATAATCACATTCACAAGCAAAGCTAAACAAAACAATTTGGTTATCATGCACAGGGTTGCATACAATTTTACAGTTCCATCATTAGTGTTGTTTAATGACTATATCGTGGTACATTTGCTGCAAATTTTTTGTTGAAATTTTTGCAATTATTTTCAATATGTATTAATGACTTGGATCAGGGAAATTAATGTACTATCTCCTAGTTTGCAGTTAAAAGTAGATGGAAAGGTGTGTAGTGAAGATGACAGAATTTACGGAGGTATATAGATAGGTTAAGTGAGTAGGCGAAAACGTGAAAGATGGAATATAATATGGGCAAATGTAAAGCAATGCACTTTTACTGGAAGAATAGACGAGTTGAATATTATTTAAACAGAGAGAGAGAGACTTCGGAAAGCTGCACCACAAAGGGATTTCGGTGTCCTTGTGTACGAATCACAAAAAGCTAGTATTCATGTTTATCAGATTCCAGGGAAATCAAATGGAATATTGACTTTTATTTCAAAGGGATTGGAACATAAAAATAGAGAAGTCTTGCTGAAAATATATAAGGTGCTATTCAGACCACCCCCAGAATAGTGTGAACAATATTGGTTGAGGGGAAGAGATACTGACATTGGAGGGAGTCCAGAAAAGGCTCAAGAAGTTGATCCTGGTTATAGAGGGCTATTCTTAAGGGGAGAGGTTGAGTAAGTTGGGCCAGTTGGAGTTTAGATAATATTGTAAGGGGGCTTGTCAGGCTACATGTAATGAGGGTGTTTCCCTGTTGTGGGACAGTCTAGGACCAGAGGGCATAATGTTAGAGTAAGGGGTTACCCATTTAAGGCAGAGATGAGGAAAAATTTATCCTGAGGATAGGGAATCTGTGAAATTCCCTTCCGCAAAATGCAGTTGAGGCTGTGTCAGTGAGAATATTCAATACTGAGGTGGACAGATTTTTAATCAGCAAGGGTAATGTGGAAAAGGCTAGAAAGTTGAATTGAGGATTGTCAGATCAGCCATGATCTCATTGAATAGTAGAGCAGATTCAGTAGGCTGAATGAGAGCCTGCATTGAGAAACATGGATCTATTGGCTGCTAGGAACTTTCATCACTGCTATAAATATTTTAAGATCCGAACTATCATGGATTTCCACTGACATAATCAACTTGTACAGCTTTAAGAATTATATCTTTGTTTTTTATTCTCCACAAATTCTTGTAAATGTAGAGCTTAGAATAGTAGAAATAATTAAAGATGGCAAGGATCTCATCTTTTAACCTCTCATACTCAGCCCTGACTATTGTTCACCTAGAGTATATACTCCGGATGGATTACTGGTAACTGACTTTGGAAGAAATGAGGAAGAATCCTGCCTTTTAGATAAGACAGTCTGCTGACGACACATGGAAGGATAAACCCACATTATCCATTTACGATGGTCAGAAGACAGTTATGTCAAATTGTATAGGCATCCATTGCCTTTATGATATTCTGCTTCAAGGTTGTTGATCTGATATATGAACTAGTTTCTCTGTATAGGTGCTGTTCGACCTGCTGAGTTTTTCCAGCTTTTGATTTGTTCAAATTTCAGAATATTTAATTGATTTTAAAGATAATTTGACATTGATTACATCCCAACCTGATGCCTACAACAATCAATATGTGGCTCAGTTTCTGGGCAGAGACTTTGCTGCATTGCTAAAGCTGTCTTCAACACAACTTTCTAAAAAAAACTGTATTAAATTCCTGAAAATCAGGAGATTTTCATTCCAAACAAAAAAATTATTTGGAAATAATTTGCATGTATAGCTGCATTTTAGAGGTCTTTAGATTAAGGGCCGAATTAGCATGATGGATGGAGTTTCCTGTTTTATTAGCTTTATTAAAAATATACATGAAAATCAGTGTAACTTGTGGGTAATTAGCCCAAATGATAGAATTGCAGATTTTTGTTGACCTACAGAGTACATTAAGGAGCACTGCAACTTCAGGCTTTTGCATATGCGGAAAGATGCCATGTCTATCTGGCTCTTAATAGCAATGAGCATCTTCGTTCTCTGCTGTCAGAAATTCCATAATCTGTACCTTGTTTTAATTTGCTTCTAAGTTCTTCATCATGCTGCACACAGTATTATCATTCTGGGAAATATATCAACTTGCCTACTTGGGTAATTGAATTTTTCTGACACCAGATCAAAAGTGCCATGGATTATGAGAGTGGTAACACTGAGAAGTTGGATCCTCGATATTTTGGTGAACTGCTGGCTGAGCTGACATGCAAGACCACTGACCTCCATAACATCCTCTTAGGAAACATGCAAAAGATCAAGGGAAAGTAAGTATGCCTTTCCACTCACTGTTTCTTGAACATGTAATTTGAGCTGAAGAATTTTGTATTTTTTTTTTGAAAGGTAATTGAGTGATTTGTTAACAATCAGATTACCTCATGAAAAATGTTAGATACACCCTCTAAGTTTCTTCAGACTTATTTGGATGCCAAAGTGTAATTTAGGGATTGTCAGATTTGCACCAAACCCTATGTTACTGAACCTGACAGCCACACCTTTTGAACCAGATGTTTGCGCCCACATCAAAAAGCCCGCAAACACAGTTGAAAGTGCTGGTTTTCCAATGCCTGCCCTGCTCATCTGGTCTAAACAACGCAAGGCCAGAGCAGCATAGTAGACACACTTCTTAATTTTCAGACAGTGAGATCATTTAAAATGAAACAGAATTCTTGCTTCTGTTTATATTGCTTTAAACATTTGAATGAGCAAAATTCCAGTTTGGATGCAATCACTTAAAATTACAAGTTGCCTTCACTTCCACATCCTACTGAATTCACTTTCTTTACTGTGAAATAAATTTCTGTCCTAGCTTAAATTGTGATCAAGTCTGTGTAATTAAAATTTAAAGCGTAGAAGGAAGCCTTGTACCTAGAGAAATTCATGTGACCAAGAGCAATCTGAAACTAGCCCTACTACCTTGTCTTATCACAATACTCTTGTATCTACTTCTGCTCCAAATATTTATTCAACTCTCCCTTAAGCAAAGCAAGGAACTCAGCCTCAATAACGCCATGTTGAAACATCTGTTTCCGCAGCTACTGAGTAAAGAAATTTCTCTACTCTCTCTCATTTATAATCTGATTCTTTTCTGTAGAAATGCTCTGGAATGAAAATGCTACCATATGTTTTGCAAACGCAAGTAGTTTGACAGAACATTAATTGAAATCACATTCATGTTAATTGGAGCAACGCACTTCACGTGACAGGAAATTTGACATACATTTGAAAGTTTGTTAAATATCTAAGAAAGATGCATTTCTCCTTGTGTATGCAATTGAAAGGCACCCTTCTTAAAACAACAGAGTACTCAAGATATGCAAATAACTTAGAACATCTGAAGGTCTGCTTGTTGTTCATGAACATTTGTAATGTAGTAGATTTGTAAGACTGAGGCATTTTTCCATGAAACACCTGATTCCCACAGTACAGCTGTTTTCATGTATTTCATACTTTGCTTATATAAAATAGCTCCTTGAACTGTGGGATTCAGTCCAGAAACTTTAGTCACAATAACTCACTATTAAGAGTTCTGTTATCTTCTCTGTGTTGCACTGATAACTTTGATCTCAGATGGTTATGACTAATCACCAGTGAAGACTTCAGATTCACTCATCATGACATAAAAATGCAGATCACTTTAAATAATTCCATTCTCACTGATTCAATGGCCCCGCTTGAAGTTTGGCAACTATTAGTTAGTCTCCAAGGTATAAAGCCCAGGCAGGAGGATTTTTATATATTCATTTGTGTTATATTTATATTCCGGACATATATACCGAAATTACATCAAAGTCATGCATGGCAGAAATTCATAATGATAGAACATTGTGTAGCAGCAGTTTAATTCATGGGAATTTAGGAGTATCATGATGCCTATTTAGTTGGAACAGGGAGATTGTGCCTTTTAACTATTTCAACTAGGGAGATGAAGATATTTAATACTTAGAGTGTATTAACTTTGTGGCTGCCTGGCATCAATGTCACAATGACTATAGGCAGTGCAACCTCCCTGCAATGCATACATAACACAGGCTAGATTTGGCTTTATAATTAGGGATTAGTGTGTTCAAGCTAGAATTAGCAATTTGAGTTATTGCAATGTAGGTTCATGTTTCAGAGATATGACAATTATTAGCATTTCGTCAGTGACAGTAAAGGTGGAGCTCCAGGAGTTCAGACCGTTACTCCAGCAGATTTGTACTTGAATTGACTGGTGATAATGGGCCTCACTTAGGTCGCACACATTTACACATCCAGGGGTCAATGGTGTTTTGTTTCATCAAGCTGATCACCTGTATGATCAGCAATTTCCTTGAACATGGCAGCAGAAACTGGCTGCGATTACTAATGGTAATTAAAATATGTTTTCATTTTTCTATACCATTAGGTTATAATTAAAGTAACAATTACATTGATGAAATGTAACCTTGGCGCATTTCTCGATAAAGGAACAAATGAATATGCAAATTTGAAGCAGAAACCAGAAAGTTATTTGTTTGGAAAGTGAATGAGTGTTTGGAAAGCACTTGATCTGTCTAATGTGATTAAAATGACACGTTATCTTTTGAAACCACCTTCTCAAAATGAGATGGCAACGTTCTTGCCTAATCTCACTCCATCTTCTCATCTTTTTCCGCATTCGATCCACCCATAACTAATCAGTTTCATGAAATTTATCCCTTTTTTTTCATTGAATAGCAAACCTTAAGTACATTTTTGAAACCAGCATTTGTTAACTTTCCAGCAAGATGACAATTTTTGTTACACTGCAGTCACTTGTGGTATTTTCTAGTGGGAGAAATAGATTCTAAAAATGAATAATAGCCATCTGTGCTCTATCATACCCATTGCACCACAGACAACAGCGACCACAGTTAAATGCAGAAACCCAGAAGTTGCTGTCAGTCATTCTGTATTTTTTCCACAGAACCCCCTGCAATCATTTATAAAGCTCTGAACTGACACAAGTCAATGCACTTTTATGCTTAGCTTGATGTTAAACAAAGTATAAAAGCTACCTATTGCTGAAAGAGATGCATTAGGGTTTTTAATGGCATACTAAATATAATTACTGCTGAAATATATTTCTGGATCTGAAAACCAATTTTACATTTACCACTACATGAATTCCACTTTTTAAAAATTATTTTTATATTTATGATAGTTCACCCTTGACTTTAATTCCATGTATGCATCCTAATCTATTACTATACTCTGGAAAATTTAACATGAAGAATGATCAGTCCATTTTAATTTCTGCTTTGCTGTCAGTCAAAACTTTTCAGTATGATTGGCTGCTTGTACTGCTTAATGATATCACTATTGGTGGAAATCTTAACCTGGCACCAGATTAAAACTAATGTTGGGACGGGAGAAATCCATATCACAGGAAACACAAGATCTTTGTGGATCGCTTTCTTTCAGGTTTTCAGACAGCACCATCAATTTATCATGCATGTAAAAGTGTAATCAATCTCTTCCCTTTCCTTCTGTAAAACAATCAATGTCATATTTGTAAAGTTTTATTCTTGAGACTATTCAGTGTTTCTATGGAGTGGTTCCTGGGTTGGAAGAGCAGTTATTACTCTACAACATTTTTAAAAAAAAATGTGTAATGCTGAAATGGAGAATTTACAAATTGTTTTCAATATCCATGCTGGACCTGAAACATCAGAAATTATTGCTAAAATAGAAGCATAAACTTTTCACACAAGATAGGATGGGCATGAGAGAATATCAAGTCATAGAAAACAAATTGATAGCCTATGTTCCAACTGTATACACAGTATATAGTTGTGTGATGCTAACAAACTCTATTCAGTTGAAATAAAATAATCTTCGAATAGTATTGCTTTCATACCATTCATAAAGTTGTTTACACTGGCAAGCTGAGATCACTGTGTTTACAAACTGACATGATTGAAATGTCATGACTGTAGGTTTGTAACGAGGAGATGAAATCTGTCCAAGTATGAGTTTAACTCATTTAATAGGGAACTTTAGTTACAATTTTACTCCATTTAAACATGCCCAACATAGTTCTGGTAAATAATTGAACAATTTGGAATAAATTTGTATGTTTCACTTTGACATTGTATCGGCAGGGTTACTGTGAAATAATCTCAATTATGTGACTCAGGATGCATTTTCTGCTGTTAGTCCTTGCTCACTGTATATCATTACACAGTTCTTCCCATCAGTTAGTTCTCTGTGCAACTAAGTACAGCCTTTGTCAATGCTTACTGTACCCAGTGTACTCATCCTGTAAACCATAGCGCAGTGTCTCAATAACGTTTGCTTATCTCTAGATGTTGTTTTCCATTTGGGAAACCTGTCAGAATCTATTATTCATTAATCTCTCTTTTTATAAATAAATGTTAGTGAGCTCTTAATATGTAAAGGAATAAATACAGGCGCAGAAAGCATTAAAATCCTGACAGGCAGGTAAGCAAACAAATGCTAATTTTTAAATGAATACTGAAGTCTTGTATCCATTTAGCACAACTTATTGCATAATTTAATGCAGTACATTTTTAAATAAATTTATATTTGTTGTTTCTTATTTATTTATTATTTGGCAGGCAATTCAGTTTGGAAGTGAATACTGACCACAATGTAAGTATTGGAGTTTTCAATTCAGATCATAAATGTCTACATTTATATTTTTAGTTCTGTCTCTCCAATCTAGTATTCCTGGCCTTCTAAAGGGAATCTTTGTTTAAGGGCAGAAAAAAGCGATGCAAAAATGGACAGGAAGGAAAACCCATTTTGCTAGGATAGTAGGAGATCCATTATCCAGTTTATTCAGTGAACTAAAGAAATGCAGCATATCAATGATTAGATAAATTTAAATACAAGAGGAGGAGTCGGGTACAAAGTGAAACCATGTCAATGAAAAGCATTTGTGGTGAAGAGAGGATTCCATAAAAGAATAAGGAAGCTAGAAGGAAAATTAAGGTCTAAGAAAGGCACAAACAAAATTACAGTTTCTAATAAGGAGGCCATCTGGACAAATCAACGGCTGGCCATTTGTTTTGATTGACACAGTTCACAGGGAATAAGACCACTTCTCCTTGAGAAGCTGACCTACCTTTATCAAGGTGGTTGTCATTGAAGGGATTCCTAACCGTTTAATGGAATTGGCCTGTTTGGGAGTGCAGGGTGTGGGCTGGCGATCTGTACCCTTGTCCTGCATCATCAAAAATTGCCAGTGAGGGGCTTGGGGGCAGAGAACCCAGAGTCTCACCTGCCACTTCTAAGGCCTCCAGAGTCACCCAACCGAAAATGTAGCCCTTAGTTTCGAGCTGTCCAAATTGTATTTCTTGTCTCCACCTTAATGCCCACTCAGAGGACGTAGTCTTCCATTCCCATCTGAGGGAGGAGGAACTGGAAGATTGACGTTGAAAAGTGGTGAGCTGGATTGCTGGCGTGTTTCCTGTCTTCTGGCCATTTGATCTAGCAGGATGGGTGGACCGAGTGGTAGCGGCCCAAATGGTAAGCAGCCTATTAGGACAATGACATGGCCTATAAGGCTACTCAGCAGAATCCTACTGAAATTTTCCATTTGGATTGTCAGTCCTCACAGAGGCTGAAACACATTCAGGGAATAGAGGCAGGTGCCAGCAGCAGACCGGAGAGGTAGCGTACTGTCCCAGTAGTCTCTTACCCACTGACTCACAGGCTACTGGTCACCTTGTACTATAAAACACCCAGGAAGCTGAACTTACACCTCTCCACTCACCAGCCTGACAGGGAATCAAGGCTTAGGGAACAATAGGTCAAATGGTGCGATTTGTACGAGATTGGATTACAGAAAAGTGGAACGGATGAGTGTAGGATGTGAAGCTCATGAAACGGAGATGAAATATACTGAACAAATCTATTATTAGAGAACAGAAAGCCGATGCTAATAATGGAAATAATTTGACTTGGACATGGAGTAATCTCACACTCGGGTGACAGAAGTATTAAAATTCAGCAAGTTTAATGAAGATTTCAGATTATATACTTTATTCAATGGAGTCATGGAAAGCCACACAAAAAAAAACAAATTAGCTTGGGATACAGAACTATCTCCTGAAAGCTGGCAACAATAGGGAAGATGACAAGCAAAGAACCAAAAAGAGGTCAGAATGGAAGAAACTGGCCTTGGTCTTAGGTGTCTTTTCAGCACTATGGAATTCACAGATGAATAAAACAATGTGCAAAACAAACTTGGTTTAATCGAATATTCTGCTTCCCTTTGGTGTTGACCTATACCTCCTAACAGTAAAGAAACTATTACCCATTTTGCAGGCTGAAGAGCTGAGTGGAACCTTAAATACAAGTTGGGTTAGGGGGAGATGATGAAAAGGTTTCCATATCCTTTATTTTGCTAGAATATTCATGCTGGAATTTTTAGATGCAGAGTAATTGAGTTTCTGCTCAGATGTTTTCAAGCAGATCTTTTATGGAGATTTTTGGCTATTTAGACTCATGAAGATGCAAATATGTTTTTAACATTTATCAAATCCTAAAGAGTGCTTTTATTTTCCAGGACGCCAATGAAAATATTGAAGCTTTGATACCAAAAGGACTATCTGAATTGACAAAACAACACTTACGCTATCTCTTGCAGGTAAAACTGAGAACAATAATAACAGTTCTAGAAATGTCAGTGAGGAATCACAGGGGTGGTGCAGTGGTTAGCATGCTGCCTCACAGCGTCAGGGACCCGTGATCAATTCCAGCCTTGGGTGACTGTCTGTGTGAAGTTTGTACATTCTCCCCGAATCTGCATGCTCCGGTTTCCTCCCACAGTTCACAGATGTGCAGGTTGGGTGGATTGGTCATGCTAAATTGCCCCGTCGTATCCGGGAATGTGCAAGCTAGGTGGATTAGCTGGGGTAAACACAGGGTAACGGGAATAGGAAACGGTTCTGGGTCTTTGCTCTTCAGAGGGTTGGTGAGACTCAGTGGGCCGAGTGGTCTCTTTCCGGACACAATGGATTCTGTGAACTGTTACAGCACAGAAGGAGGCCATTCCATTAGTAGCAATCTCCTAATAACAATCTCCTGCCTTCTCCTCCCTATATCTCAGCACCGGACTTCTAACCAAAGAATCATTAAATGGCCTCTTGAATGCCTCATTTGAACCTGCCTCCACTACATTTCCAGGCTCTCCATACCCTAACTACTCGCTCAGTGAAAATGTTTTCTCTTGTTTTGTTTGCATACAACTGTAAATCTATGCCTCGCTCTTTTTTCTTTTACGAGCAGGAACAGCTCATACGTATCTATTCTATTTAACTAACTTATGATTTTTGAAATCTCTCAAATCTCCTTTCAGCTGTCTTCTCTGAAAGAACAATCATCCTAACTTCTTCAAACTATCCTTATAATCAAAGTTTCTCATTCCTGGAACCATTCTTGTGAATCCCTTCTGCATCGTCCAATCCATTCACATCTTTCCAATAATGTGGCACCCAAAACTATGCACACTACTCCAACTGAGTCCAACAAGGGTGTTGTACAAGTTCAACATCCCCTCCTTGCTCTTATACTCTGTGGGACTATTAGTAAAGCCAAGAACAATACTCACTTTATTAACTGCTGCTTGCCTGTCGCTGCCAACTTTAATGATCTGTGCACGTGCATACCCAGGTCCCTCTGTTCCTGAACACAATGTAGAATTGTACCCTCTATTTTATATTGTCTTCCAGTATTCTTCCTACCAAAGTGCATCACCTCACCTTTCTCTGCATGAACTTCAACTGTCACCTATCCACCCACTCACCCAGCTTGCCACTGTCCTTTTGGATTTCTATGTTGTCCTCCTCGCAGCTTACAATTCTTCCAAGTTAGTATAATCTGCAAATGTTAAAATTGTCCCCTACACTCTAAGATCCAGTTATATCAGGAAAAGCAAGGATCTCAGTACTACGCTGGGGAACTCCACCTTAAACCTTCATCCAGCCAGAAAAATATGATTGATCATTACTCTCTGTTTCCTATCACTCAGCCATTATGGTGTCCATGTTGCTATTTATATCGTGACCTATAACTTTTCTTGGAAATCTGTGGTGTGGCACTGTATTAAATGTCTCTGGAAATCTATGGTTATCACATTAACTGAATTACCTTCATTAAGAGTTTCTGTTACCTCTTCAAAAGTCTACAGCAAGTTAATTAAATATGATTTCTCCTTTCAAAATTACGCTGACTCTTCCTAATCAACCCGTTTTTTCCCATGTCATTCCTAATTCTATCTTGAATAATTGTTTTATAGAAGCTTTAACTCCACAAAGTTAAACTTGCTGGTCTGTAATTGCTGAGATTACGTTACAACCTTATTTGAGCAAGGTATTTGCAATCCTTTCGTCTTCGGACATGTCCCCCTCATTCAGAGAAGACAAAGATTATGGCCAGTGCCCCATAATTTCTCCCCGTCAGTTCCTTCAAAATCCTTAGCTCCTGGTGTTTTGTCATAGCTCCTGCTCTCTTATTTGCTTTTCCACCTCCCCCTAAACCTTCAACCTCTTGTTGATTCTCAGTTGTATTTGTAAGCACACTTTTCTAACATTAATTTCTACGTCCTTTTATCTACAGGTGACTCTGGATTTGATTGTCCTCCTTTTTTATTTGAGGGAATAGACCTCAACTGTATTCAAACTATCTATTCTTAGAAAGTGAATAATGGGTCACCTTCAGTTTTTCCTGCCAACTTCTTGTTCCAGGCAATCTTGACAGATCTGTTCTTGACCCATTGTCAGCTGTCTGCCAATTGATATTTATTATTCTGATTGTTGCGTGTCATTCTCCAAAAAATCTCAAACCGTATGCTATATCGATCACTGTCTCATAACTGATCCCCATTCACACTCCAACTCAAAGCCTGGGTTCTTTGGTCCAGAGGCAAGAACACTATTACTGTGCATAAGAACACAGTTATTCACTGCTTAATATAAGCACTATCTGACTGAAAAGAAGTAATTCAATTGGGTGGGTGGACTAGTGAATACCCTCAACTAGTAATCTAGAGCTGCAGGCTAATGCTGTGGGGATATGGGTTCAAATGTAACTATTTTCAGAGTTATCAATTGAATTTATAAAGGAAGGTTGTCATAACAGTGATCTTTCAACGTTGTTGAAACCCATCTGGTTCACTAATATCATTCACTAACATTCTTTCGGTAAGGAAATCTGCCATTCCTGCCTATTCCATGTAACTTCAGATCCACAGCAATGTGGTTGACTCTGAATTGGCCTGACAAGCCACTTAGTTCAGGGGCAATTAGGGACAGAATACCAACATTACCTCCATCTCAGAAAAGAACATAGAAAGAGAAAGAGGCAGGGGTTTTCAATGTCTCTTGTCTAATTCAAGCTTCATCACCAAGATGTACAGCTACTGTTGTATGTTACGTACATCAAAGAACGAGTTACAATCCCTGTGGTGCCTCTCAAAGTATCCAATATGTTTCAATAACATACAGTGCTAAAAATAATTTAATGAGCATGTATAAACAGTAAGGGAATCGAATGATAAACAACAATAATTTTTCCTTCTTAAAGGCATTACTTGTGCATTAAAATTACTGCCTTCTGCATGCTATCAAATGGGGAAAATAAATGCTTGGATTATGCCATCAGTCACACAACTAACAAATGAATAGGTTCAGTTTCCTGTAGGCTGCATTAAGGAAATGACATCCAAAGTTGTGTCCCTTTGTACAACACGCTGGAACTTGAAGTGGGTACAAATCATCCAAGGCTGTAGAAAGTACTGAACACGTATATATTTCTTTCTTTAAGTGCAAAAGTTGAAGTTTCAAGCAACATTCTCTCCAACTGTGTTTTTCAGTGCATGGCAATTTAGTTAAGTGTGCTCTTCCTTTTAAAGGCTTTTGCATGGCAATGCACTTGGGCTGACTTGTGTGTAGCCTGCATGAATGCTTTTTAGTTTGCTGCACAGTTTAAATGAGGCATTGGTTTCAAACATTCAACAGTTATTCATCCAAATTAGAAGAAAAATTCTGGAAGCTTTCAATTTCTAATGTGACTTCTACTGGTGAAGGATTTTTTTTTAAAATTGCAATTAAAATGGCTAGAATGGCTTTTTCTCTTGCTTCTCCAAAAATTCTAGCTTAAATTTTGGACCCAATTTGAACTTGTCCAATGACAGTTTTCATGAATGGCTCTTATTGAAAATAGCCAGGGTGCATTTGGGAGAAGGAATCAATAGATTGATGTAAGAATGCAGAAATTTGCACAAAGCAATTATGCACTTAATCCATGTACCCAAATTTCCATAAGAAATAGTAGGCCATTTGGCCTCTTGAGCCTGCTCAATCATTCAGTAGGATCATGGCTGATCTGACATTCCTCACGTCCACTATTATATGTTTTCCCAATGACCCTTATGGTGCAGCAGTAGTGTCCATACCTCTGAGCCAAGTCTCATCTGCTCCAGAGGTGTGTAATAAAGTCTATAACTAGGTTGATTTGAAAATATCTACCTCAGCACAGGCTGGAACTTTTACTGATTTGTATGACTCAGCTACATAAAATTGGGAGCCAAGGACACATCCGGACTGAATATGTCTAAAAGGATAAATGTTCAAGTTTCTAGTGCTGATTTCTCCTCCAGTTGGAAGTGATGTTACTTTATGTTTTAGTCATTATTACAGCACAGTCAACATTTTATAGACACAGCCTCCAAACCATCATTGTTGCAGCGAGGAAGATATTTAATATTAATTATGCGTAAAATTCATTTATGCTGCCTTCATTGCACTGTTAGTTTGCACTTGTCACTGTTTTTATCTGATTGGTTAATAGCTATTATTTCTGACCTATTGTTGTTGTCTTGGGGCGTTGTCAAGTTTCTGCATGTGTTTTCAGTTTCAGGACTACGCTTAAAGAATCCTGTACCTTGGTCATGAAATGTTAAGATTGCTGAACTAATGTCTTTTACATGATTATATCTTTAGTCAAGAATTACTGTGGACAAGTCCCTAAGACTACTGTTGGCCACATTTAACAGCCTCCGTGAAGACCTGCTCCATTTGCAAGATGACCTAAATGTAAGTCCAAGAGATTATAAAAATTCACAATGTTTATGAACTTAAATCTTAATTTGGGTGCTCATGTACATCTAAAATTGAAGATGACCACCAAAATTTGTTGATCTGTATTACATAATAATATAAATAATTTTGAACTCACATTTGCTAATAATCATGGTTTTAGGTGTGTACTTCATTATGTATGAACTGAATATTGAAGAAAGTGCCAATCTGTATAAATTCTTTAGAAACAAATTCTTCTGCTATTTCAAAGGCATCCGTATTATGCTTGATGTTTAAACACAAGTTTTCTTATGATTCATATACTTTCGCATCTGGTGTTGGGGCAGGGGTAAGAGACACGGAAACCATATTGTTTTCTGATGGGAAAAAGACAGTTTGAATTCAAATTTAATATTGAGGAGGTCAAATGCAGCAAGGAACATGAAGAATAAGAACTGCAAATGCTGTTAAATTTGATCTTTTTGGTCTACTTGTAGACTCCGTCTGCTGGAATATGGGTATAGAAGCTTTAAGGAGACAAAGTGTACAATGAAATCCCCAATACATGACAGAAATGTGTGCTACTTTTAATTCCACAGAGACTTGCAACAGACAAGGAAATGCTGGAAAGAGATCTGGGTTTTAAATCTCAACAGGTGACAGAATATTTACAGCTCTTGGAATCTGTACGAGAGAATAACAGACAGCTGCAGGTAAAGCAGTAGCACAGTAGCTACGTCTATTGCCTGTCTTTCTTATGTCATTAAGTGAAATAGAGGATGCTAATGCAGCTGGTGATGACTAATCAGAAACTCAAAATTTTGGCTAAGCAGAATTTCATAAAACAACATTGTGTGACATTCAATAATGCATTTGTAACACCTGTAGTGATTAATTTCTATATTTCAATTTCCTATCATGGACATCGCAAACCGATATTGCAGTTTTGCAGCTATGGCACGTGTTCATATTAGATTATAATTTGTATCTCATGACTTCCCAACCACAGTAGCTTAATGCCTTGTATTTGTTCTGAATATAGACACTTTATCTTTAATTTCTTTAAAATTTGAAAACATCAGATATTGCTGTTACGTTGCATAGTGGTTTGTAAATGTTGTATATACCCCTACCATGAATCATGATTTCCAACATCTACAATGTTTTGCTTTCTTACATCTTTTAATCAATCAGTTCATTAGCCAGCCAATAAATGAACTGAGCTGTGAAATTTGCTTGATTTTTCCCTTGACATCTTTTGGCGAAGAAAAGGCCAAGCAATTAATGTAAAAACAGGCAACTTACAATGCTATTAAGAATCATGCAAATAATTTTCATGTGAAAACTGCAGTTATTATTAAAATGTATAATACACTTAATGTAAGTGTTAATTTTAATAAATAAATGGACTGTGCCAGTGGGAGAGGGGATAGATGGGGTCGGAAGGATTTGTAATGGTTTTACTCTCAATATTTCTCTTTTTGGCATTTTGGTTTAGAACACCATTAAAGAGAATGGATCAACTAACCGTTCACTTGAGGAGTTGATCTTAACTCTGAGGAACTCAGAGGCAGACAAGGAGTTCCGTGTGAAAGAGTTGGAATATCGCAAGCGTGCACTGGAGCAAGAAAACGAGGCACTCCGACAACAGGTAAGAAATAGGTACTGTACCTTCCTCATAATTCTCTCTATTTGACTTAAATATTCAGTTAAGTCTTTTCTACTCTAGGAGTCTATTCATTTACTTGATCACTGCCTTAATGTACACTTGCTCGGTCCAACATTTGGTGGCTGCAGGTAACATTTTAATCTTTAACTAAATGGTGGCATTGTAGGCAGTCAGTTAGCTCAAACCAGCTGTACGCTGGTTTGTAACGCAGAGTGATGCCAAAAGTGTGGGTTCAATTCCTGCACTGCCTGAGGTTATCATGAAAGGGCTCTCCTTCTCAACTTGGAGCAGCTTGTGGTGGAGCCCACTAGGGAACAGGTAATACTGGATTTAGTGTTGTGCAATGAGGCAGACTTGATAAGGGAGCTTAAGGTGAAGGAACCCTTAGGAGGCAGTGATCAAAATCTGATTGAATTTACTCTGAAGTTTGAGAGGAAGAAGATAGAATCAGAGGTAATGGTATTATTGCTGAATAAATGCAACAACAGAGGCATGAGGAAGGAGCTGGGCAGAATTGACTGGGAGAGGAGCCTAGCAGGAAAGACAATGGAATAGCAATGGCAGGAGTTTCTGGGAGTAATTCAGGAGACACAGCAAAAATTCATCCCTAGGAAAAAGAAACATTCTAAAGGGAGGACGAGATAACCCTGGCTGACAAGAGAAGTCAGGGACAGCATAAAAGCAAAAGAGAAAGCATATAATGTGGTGAAGGGCAGTGGGAAGCTTAAAAAAACTAACAGAGGGCAACAAAAAAAGAAATAAGGAAGGAGAAGATTAGCTAGCCAGTAATATAAAGGAAGAGTTTCTTTGGATATATAAAGGGCAAAAGTGGACATTATGACGCTGGAGAAATAGCAGTGGGGAACAAGGAAATGGTTGAGGAACTGAATAATTACTTCACGTCAGTCTTTACGGTGGAAGACACAAGTAATATCCCAAAAATTCGAGAGAGACAAAAGGCATACCTAGGTATCGTGCCCATCACCAAGGAGAAGATGCTAGAAAAACTGAATGGCCTGAAGGTGGAATATTCACCCAGGACCAAATGGACTATATCCTAGAGTTCTTAAGGAGATAGCTGAAGAGATAGTGGTGATCTTTCAGGAATCACTAGAGTCAGGGAGGGTCCCAGAGGACTGGAAAATCGCTAACTTGACACCCCTGTTTAAAAAGGGAATAAGGCAAAAGACAGAAAATTACAGGCCAATTAGCCTAACCCAGGTCATAGGTAAGATTTTGGAGTCCATTGTGAAGGATGAGATTTCTGAATATTTGGAAGTTATGGTAAAATAGGGCAAAGTCAGCATGGTTTCATCAACGGGAGGTCATGCCTGACAAATCTGCTAGAATTCTTTGAGGAAGTAATGAGCAGCCAATGGATGTTATCTGCCTGGACTTCAAGAAGGCCTTTGACAAGGTGCCGCACAGGAGGCTGCTGAGTAAGATAAGGGCCCACAGTGTTAGAGGCCAGGTGCTAGCATGGATAGAAGATTGGTTGACTGGCAGAAGGCAGAGTGGGGATAAAAGGGTCTTTCTCAGGATGGCAGCAGGTGACAAGCGGTGTTCCACAAGGGCCAGTGTTAGAACCACAACTTTTCACTTTATACATTAATGATCTAGATGAAGGAACTGAGGGCATTCTGGCTAAGTTTGCACATGATACAAAGATATGTAGAGGGACAGGTAGTATTGAGGAGGCAGGGAAGCTGCAGAAGGATTTGGACAGGTTGAAGGGTGGGCAAAGACATGGCAGATGGAATACGATGTGGGAAAGTGTGAGGTCATGCACTTTGGTAAGAAGAATAGAGGCATGAAAAATAGAGAGAAAATTCAGAAATCTGAAGTGCAAAGAGACTTGGGAGTTCTAGTCCAGGACTCTGTCAAGGTAAACTTGCAGGTTGAGTCAGTAGTTAGGAGGGCAAATGCAATGTTGGCATTTATTTTGAGAGGACTTGAATATAAAAACAGGGATGCACTTCTGAGGCTCTGGTCAGGCCACATTTGGAGTATCGTGTGCAGTTTTGGGCCCCATTTCTCAGGAAAAATATACTAGCCCTGGAGCAGATTCAGAGGAGGTTCACGTGAATGGTCCCAGGAATAAAAAGCGTAACATATGAGGAACGTTTGGGCCTATACTCTTTGGCGTTTAGAAGGATGAGGGTGGGATCTAATTGAAACTTACAGAATACCAAATGGCCTGATTAGAGTGGATGTTGGGAAGATGTTTCCATTGATAGGAGAGACGAGGACCCGAGGGCACAGCCTAAGAGTAAAGGGATGACCTTTTAGAATGGCACTAAGGAGAAACTTCTTCAGCCAGAGAGTGGTGAACCTATGGAACTCACTGCCTCAGGAGGCTGTGGAGGCCAGGTCATGGAGTACATTTAAGACAGAGATAGGTAGGTTCTTGATAGTCAAGGGGATCAAGGGTTACAGGGAGAAAGCGGGAAAATGGGGTTGAGAAACTTATCAGCCATGACTGAATGGCAGAGCAGACTTGATGGGCTGTATGGCCTAATTTTTGCTTCTATGTCTTATGATCTTCTCCTGTCGCCTGTAGCATGGTGAGCCTCAGGTTAAATCACCACCAGTCATTACTCTGAGACAGCAGCCCTGTGGTCTGGTAAACTATGGCAACATTATCTTTATTATTGTAATTTTAAAAGTATATAGTATTTCATTTTGCACTTTTACAATTATGTTTACATTAAAAATGTCTCCAGAGGAACATTGTAGCCCAAAAAAGCTTTCATGTGAGTGAAATCCCTCCTAATGGGAAAGGAGGCAGTGGATATTTCACACGACAATGGACATAACACCATTGAAATTCAGGAACACCGAATTTGAAGAAAATAACCACTCTCTCACTTTCAAAGGAAATTCTTTTGAAGTTTCCATTCACCTGTTTCATATTAATTCAGAAGAATGGCCATGGGGGACAAGGAACTTGTGAAAGTAATCTCAGTTCAAAACATTTTACAAGTTTTGCTTCATTACGTAATGATACCCTCTTAACCTTGCAAACATTCTTGTCCCTATGCTGGTTCTGTTCCAACAAATTTGTTCTTGCACAGAAGTTTCTGATACGCTTGAACCATGAACTTCGTGCCTATTTTTATATTTACTGGCCTCCTGCCAGAAACTCCCTCATTCACTGAAACAAGTGGATTATTTAATGTTACATTTTCTGAATGTATTTTAGTTCTGCTAATTCAAAAACACTGGATACGCGCTGCACATCTTCAGCCTGTTTCTGAACAAAAGGTCAAATATAAATCAAATAAGACTGAAATACTGCAGATGCAGGAGATCTGAAATAAACACAGAAAATGTTTAAGAAACTCAGCGGGTCTGGTGGCATCTGGGGAGAGAGAAACAAAGTTAACATTGAATCGGCTATGATTCTTCTGCAGAACCTTGAAACATTAACAAAAACCGAAAGAACTGCGGATGCTGTAAATCAGTAACAAAAACAAAGTTGCTGGAAAAGCTCAGCAGGTCAGGCAGCATCTGTGAAGGAAAAAACAGAGTTAACGTTTCGGGTCTGGTGACCCTTCCTCAGAACTGATAGTGACTGGGAAAACATCAGTTTATACGCAGAAAATAGTGAGGTGGGGTAGGGAGTAAACAATAGGATAGAGCCCAAAGAGAGAGAGAGACGGTTAGACAGATAAAGGAGTTGCTAACGATCAGGCTGGGAGGGTGAGTAGTTGTTAATGGGGACTGTTAGTGACTAACAACAGGGGGTGTGTAATGGCAGGCTATGTGGTAACAAGGCCTGGTGTGTGGGAATAGGGGGCTGGGACATGGGAGAGTTTAGGCCCTAAAATTATTGAACTCAATATTGAGTCTGGAGGGCTGTAGGGTCCCCAAGCGGAAAATGATGTGTTGTTCCTCCAGCTTGCATTGGGCTTTGCTGGAACACTGCAGCAAGCCAGAGACACACATGTTGGCCAGGGAGCAGGATGGTGCGTTAAAGTGGTAGGCAACACGTAGTTCAGGGTCTTTTTTGCGAGCAGAACATAGATGTTCTATGAAGCGGTCGCCAAGTCTACGCTTCGTTTCCCCAGTGTAGAGGAAACCACATTGTGAGCAGCGAATGCAGAAGACCAGATTCTGGGAAGTGCAGGTGAAGTGTTGCTTCACCTGGAAGGTATGTTTGGGCCCTTGGATTCTGGGGAGGGAGGAGGTGAATGGGTAGGTGTTGCACCTTTGTCGGTTACAGGGGAAGGTGCCGTAGGGCTGTGGGGATGTGTTGGGGGTGAAGGCGGTGTGGACCAGGGTATCCCAGAGGGAACAGTCTCTGCAGAAGGCGGACAGGGGAGGGGAGAGGAATGTGTGTCTGGTGGTGGCGGAAATGGCGTCTGGATATGGATGCTGGTGGGATGGTAGGTGAGGATAAGGGGAACCCTATCGCTGTTTCGGGAGGGAAAAGAAGGGGTGAGGGCGGAACTGCAGGAGATGGGTCGGACCTGATTGAGGGCTCTGTCGACAACGGAGGTGGGGAATCCTCGGTTAACGAAGAAGGTGGAAACATTAATGCTGTTTTGTCTCTCTACAGATACTGCCAGACCTGCTGAGTTTCTCCAGCACTTTGTTTCTATTTCAGATATAAATCAGGTCATTTTTGGAATATGTTGATCCATTTTTTAAGAATACTTAGCAGATGTAAATGCACTTGAATACAAGACATTGGGATTATACTGAACTGAGGATTCAATCAATTTAGAAAGGAAGAATCAACTGGCAAATCTCTATTAGAGTTGATTTAAACAGGCAAAGAAATAAAGAACATGAATAACAAAATTCATTTTTCACAGCTACACTTCCAAGGAACGCTGCTCCATCTTGATAAAATTGGGTATTGTATTTAATGTGAATACCAAAAAAATCTGGATAAGCTTTCAAAGTAATGTGGTATCCTGACCTCATTGAAAAATGACTTTTTGCATTGCATTTAAGGAGTTACTGCACCACATAATTGACACGGGAACATGTTTCAAGTTGGTATTACAGTAGATCCTTGGGAAAGTGCATTTAATCTCTTTCTATTTTGTTGTTAGAAATAATGGTCTCACTGAATAGCACAACCCTATTTCAGATGTTAATTCTATGTTAGAAGATAATAAGAGCAGGTACCATCATCACAATGAGAAACCAATCATGGTGACTATTTGAAGAATAACTTTGTTATTTATCTTTCCCCCTTAGTGTAAGGATTGTAAACTCTTCTCAGTTGCTAATATTTAACACTAATTGTCACATGCTGTGTAGCACGACATCTTTGAACATCTGACATCTCCAAATCTTGGCTGGGAAATACGTTCGGAGATGTCCTCAATGTTTAGCTTGTTATTTTCTGACGGTGATACACCCAAATCTGCCCATTATTAGACTACTATAGTTTTATTGGCAGCTGGCAGGGAAGTGTTATCACTTCTACAGAAACCTGGCATAGCCCAAAATCATGTTCGACACAGGAGATACTGTCTGTCCTTTCTATCGCAGTGGATTCTGGTACCTCAGAGTAACTTCTAGGATCAAAGAAGAAGTGTTAGCTTTTGTTACAGTTGTTTCCATCAGCAGCTTCTTTTTAAAAAAAAAAATGAAGATTATCTGAATCACTGCAAGTTAAGGAATTATCACAACATCCTGTTAATGAAGGCATAGTGCTTCTAAAATGACAGATGCACTATTGTCATTATTGATTTTAAATTGCTTCAATACATCTTTATCTGTTTTGTTGGAGGAAGAATTTACTAGTCTAGACTATCCAGTAAGGATGTGACTTAATCACAACTCGTGGGAAATGAGTGCAAAGTTCCCTAGAAAGGAATCATTCTAACTTTTACTTGTACGTAAATAAAAGGGAAATAACAACTTGTCCATCTGGAGTGTGCCTTAAACATAACCAGGCAGGTAACAGGTTGGTGGAACTGGATAATCGCAGTTGAGGAGAATTTTCAAGGGTTATGGATAGTTACAGATGGGTGATAAACACAGGAGTCAAAATTACTTAATCGCAAAACTGGACAAAACCACAATGCATTGCATCTATTGGCAGCTTTTATCCAGGCTGAAGGGGAGAAATACAAGAAACTATTGTCACTTCAATTTTGTCAATACATCCAATAGAAAAATTAAAATGAAGTCCATACAATGATCTGAATTTGATAAACGAGTTGGGAAACAGGTACTATATACTTTCTGTGGCAGTATTACTATTTTAAGCAATTGATGTAACACACTGAAGGTATAATTGCAGATGAGTTGAACCTTGTTGAATTGGCACACAACAGTCGTGCATGAAAAGCTTACTTAATGCGGACTATGTTTTGATATTTACAGCTGTCCAAGAGCCCATCAAGCAAATCATCCACTTCCATATTTAGCACAGAAATATCTAATAACTACTATGAAATGGTCAACAAACTGCGTGAAGAAAAGGACAAGGAAATTGATTATTTGAGGGTATGCAAATCATTTTCTTGCAGTCAATGTTCTTAATATAACATGATCACCATTCTTTTTAAGCCTTAACTGGAAATTGCTCTTCCATTTTAAAAGATACTTTTGAATCTGCTTCAACACCATTTCAGGTCATATATTTTTGTGCACAGCACGGTACAATGATCTTGTTTTATTTTTCAGTTATAGAATTCACTCACTCACACTAACCAATTAACATCACCACAAAAAGACTTAACAGAATAAATAGTGAAGGGTAACGTAAGCCCTGTAAAAACAGATGCTGGTAATGTGGCAAACAAAGATATGGAAGCAGCAGAGGTCTCACCCACACTCGTATCTGATCTTTGGGGCAGTTGCCAGGCACATGGGTGGGCTCCTTCACCCCACAAACTCCTTTTTACCTGCTGGGTCAAGGACTATGGCACCTCATTAAGTGCCATTGTCTCAATAAAACACATCCTCTAGCCTGATTTGCTCTGGACTTGTTCAAGGTTTATGTCCTGTGCTGAATTTGCAAGTGAGGTGCTTTTCTTTCCAACCTTACTTATTCGGATTGTAATGATTTTTATTTAGTATTAGAATACGTACATTTAATACTCATTTCTTGCAAAGTAAAACCTGGACTATCCTACTGGCTACCATGCTATCGGATATGTTACCTTCATCTCAAGTACTGCATCCTTCTATTTCAGAGCCACCAACGTTAATCCCATCCCCAAAAATCCCACATTGGACCCCTCTGACTTTACAAACTCCCACACAAAATACCAAGAACTAACCATCTGTCATCAGTGATTCCTTGTCCTGATATGCTTCAAACTCAAATTTCTCATTACACATTTCAATTCATTAATGGCTTCTGTGTTCCGACCCGAAACGTCAGCTTTCCTGCTCCTGTGATGCTGCCTGGCCTGCTGTGTTTCTCCAGCTCCACACTGTGTATTCAATGCGTTATTCCCTTTTAGGGAGCAGGCTGATTGTTTGGATATGAGCTGTGAATTGGACTTTTGTTAAGGTATAAATTATTTGTTTCTTTCAGGCACAAATCAGCAGCATGAAACGTGAAATAATTTCAGGACAAGATAGCACCTTGAAAAGTAAATTGGCAGAATACAATAATAGCCTAAGTGAGAAGGATGCCATCATTAGACAAAAGAATGAGGTAGGTAAATCATGTGGCTTCTGTTTGATTTAATGGCAGTGTCAAGCTGAGCGAAGAATGAAGAGATCCAGGTTTGATGCTGAGATCAAAGAAAAGACTTATTATAAAGAGAATAGTGACAGAATTAATAGTTTATGTGGCTCTGGTAGAGGACTGAAAGAATTTCTGATGTCATTTGATGCATAATCTCAGTAGGCAGGTAACTTGTTAATATTGGGGAATTTGTGATTTGTCAGCACATGGTAACACAAAACCTAGCATGCTTTTGTGGAAACTGAATGCTCAAGCCAAACGTTTAGACAACAACTTGTTCATGGCTATTTCTAATACCAGACAATTGATTTAGTGTAACAAAACTATGCTAATTTATGAATTAACACCAACTACAGAGTGAAAGTGTAATTTCAGGCAGCATTCAGCAGCTGACACTTAAAATGGAAAAGGGTTAAATGGTATTAAAATTGTTAAAAAGAAACATTATACAAAGTATATAAAAGGATTAATGGCAGAAATTTTCTAAGTTTATGAAACTAGCCAGGATCAGATTAATGTAAGAATCGGTCCGGCAAGAATTGCACAAGGAATTTTAATGAATGGTGGCTTTTCTAAATCACTTCAATTATCAATAAAAATGCTTCCAAGCCAGGCATAGCATTTTTTTAAAATCAGCACCAAGTCTTTGCCCCTCTTGCAACTGTGGTGTGGATGTAGCTTACACCCAAGATGCTGGGGTCAGTAACATGCTGGTTAGGGAAGATATCTGGACTTCTCTCACATTAGCAATGGTAATTACTCAGCTTGTATGGAGGTGCGAATATAATTGCTATTTTGTCAGCCTGAATCTAGATGTTATTCAGGTTAAGCTGGCATGGGTTGCTTATTTGAAACAATAGTTGAGATGTAAGCTCTCAATTTGGAAGGCAATTTAATGTCAGGATTTTGTCTAAAATAATATTTCTTTAAAAGGGTATCTTATTGGTAGGTTATTGCCAGCAAGACTCACATAGCAATTGTTGAACGTGAAGAGCACATAGTAAGAGGACTGGAGTATAAATAATCATGCTTACGAAATCTCAGACTTAATCAGAAAACTCTTATCCCTTTTAATCTTTCTCTCAGGAAATCATGAGACTGAAATCTTTGTCACGTGAGACAGGCAAGAATGTGACACACACCATCATTACAAAGCGGTAAGTCATTTGACTAACATTATTTAGAAAGCACAATATCATTTTGGGTATTACTGGTTTGTCACTGACAGACAAATGGATTGCAGACAGGAAAATCAGTTCAAACGGTTTTGACATAATACATTTGAATGTATAAACTGTATTAACTTTGTCTCTGTAGTTGCCATCAATATGATCTTTGAACAATTAAATAAATTAATGACGTATTGTCACAACACTGAAATTGATGCAAAACATGTCAAATGAAAACCCATAGGAATTGTATAAATGAAGCTCTTTTGTTGATGTGTAATGAACCCTCCATTGTTGTTAACACATAAATACAATTTCATCAGTGTGTGCTAATCGTGATAGACATGATAGCCCAAGTATTCCAGCTCCCTGTCCATCAGTAGTATGGATGTTAAGTTGTGATCACATTGGCCCGGCTTTTCTGATGACCATACAGTTGTCATTCCAGTATAGATGAGAGTTGCCTGAGATACTGAGGGAATTGCCCAGGTAATTCAAGGTTCCCCTGAACAATTCGCTAACGCCTGGAACCTTCAAAGCGTCCAGTGGCATTACCATCACTGAATTGCATTAATATCCCAAAGTTACCGTTAACCAGAAGCTAAACTGGTCCAGCCTTAAATACAGTGGCTAAAAGAGCAGCTCAGAAACTGAAATTTTGAGACAAACAACTCACCTTCTGACTCACTGAGGCCTATCCACCATCTACGAGGCCCAAGCCAGCAGTGTGATGGAATACACTCCTACTTTTCTGGATCGCTGCTGCTCCAGCAATACTCAAGAAGTTTGACATCCTATCCTTCACCACCAATGAACAGTGGCATTGTGTACCATGTGCAGTAATGCAGCACAGCTCCATCAGCAACTTCCAAACCCAGTGTCTTCTACCAACCATCTAGAAGGACAAGGGCAGTAGATATGTCAGAGCACCACCATCCTAAAGCTCCCTTCCAAGTCACAGACCATCCTTACTTGGAATTATATCACTATTCTTTCATCGTTGCTGCGTCAAAATCTTGGAACCCTACCCTAATAGCATTGTGGGTGTACCTACACCCCAAGGAGGAAGCTCACCACAATCTTTGAGGGTAAAACATGAGTGAACTAAAACAAAAAAATTGTTTGATAATTTTTTTTGCCATATGTCCCAGTATTTCTTTTCATTAATACTCATGTTGACACCTTAATTTGTTGTGTTAAGGACACACTGTGTAAAGTTGTTGCCCACTGATGCAGGGAAGGGAAAAAAAATGGTTTCAAATAATGTTTTGTATTTTGTTTAGAACTCAACAGCATACATTTTTCAATCTAATATCAAATTCTATTCAATTTAATAGAGTTAAAGTCATACAGCACGGAAACAGACCCTCCAGTCCAACTTGTCCATGCCGACCAACTAAACTACTTCCACTTCCTGTGTTTGACCCATATCCCTCTAAACCTTTCCTATTCATATACCTGTCTAAATGTCTTTTAAATGTTGTGACTGTACCACTTGCTTGGCAGTTCATTCCATATATGCACCACCCCCAGTGTGAAAAAAGCTGCCCCTCAGGTCCCTTTTAAATCTTTCTTCTCTCACCTTAAAAAAAAATGTGCCCCCTAGTTTTGAACACTACCACCCTAGCAAAAAGATACCTGCCATTCACCTTACCTATGGCCCTCATTATTTTATAAACCTCTAAGGTCAGCCCTCAACCTCATAAGCTCCAGTGAAAAAGAAGTCCCAGCTTCTCCTGAAAACTCAAACCCTCCAGTCCTGGTAACAACACAGTAAATCTTTTCTGAACCCTTTCCAATTTAATAATATACTTCCTATAGCAGAACGACCAGAACTGTACACAATACTCCAAAAATGGCCTCATCAATGTCTTGTACAACCTCAATGCCTATACTCAATGGTCTGAGCAATGAAGGCATGCACACTAAATGCTTTCTTAACCACCCTGTCTACCTGTGACGCAGCTTTTAAAGAACTATGAACCCCTCTGTGTCTCTGCTTGACAACGCTACTGAGGGCCTACCATTAACTACATAAATTCTGCCTTTGTTTTACCAAAAGCAATACCTTGCATTTATCCAGATTAAACTCCATCTGCCACTTCTCAGCCTATTGGCCCAATTGATCAAGATCCCTTTATAATCTCAGACAACAACAATGGACCTTGTACTGATCTGTGCAGTACACCAGTGGTCATAGACATCCAACCTGAAAAACAACTCTCCACCACTACCCTCTGTGTCCTTCTGTCAAGCCAATTTTGTATCCAGTTGGCAAGCTGTCCCTGAGTCCCATGTAATCTAACTGTACTAATCAGTCTACCATGTGAAACCTTGTCAAAGACTTTACTTAAGTCCATAAAGACAACATCTACCACTCTGCACTCAATCTTTTGGTTACGTCCTCAAAAAACTCAACCAAGTTTGAGAGACACACATGCATCCTTTTTAAACCAACATAGGGTAGAAATACATTTACTTAGCCCAACTTCTAAAGTAATACCTGTAAAATTGGATTAGGAGTTATAGATTACTTAGGTTAAAAAAGAGCTGGAGGTACAAACAATTTTAAGTGGTTTATTGTGAAACACTAGTGCAACAGTTCAAATGCAATATATTGATCCCAGGTTAGGGATGGAAAAGGACGTTTGATCTCTGTAACTCATGGTAATAATCACTTCTAATTCCCCCTCAGCTAGTTTGAGATGTTAGGCCAAAGTTAGGATATATCCCCCTCAGGGACTCTCCCTGCAACGTGTCTTCACTTCCTTGGCTGCCCATTTAAGTTCTTCTGGGGGGTTTCTATGACAATCATCCATTCAATTTTCATAAAAAAAGATACCAACTACATGCGATCTCTTCATTTAATTGTGTTTTGTATGAATATTTTACTACTGACAGCCAATTTGTTTTAAATATATGGACTAGACTCCTTTTGATTAGGTCCAGGAAACTTAGAAAGACCTGGGCATGGAATTATATCTAGGCCTGTTAAGAGCTTGATGAAACTATCTTATTCATGTCAATAGAAACAACATGCTTGCAAGCAGAAAAGTAGAAAGTGCACTATTTCTATGGCACTTAAATAACTTAATATTTAGTAAGTTTGTTAGACATCTATTTCTTAAATCAGTGCACACACAATTGTTCACTAGTGTGGGCAGAATCACAGTATTATAACACAGAAGCATACCTTTTGGCCTATCATATCTGCCCCAACTTTTCAAATTATCGTCATTACCTAGTGCCAGTTTCCTGTCTTTTTCTGTCCCCATACCTTTGCACATTATTTGTCCAAATAATCATCCAATACCCTCTTGAATGTGACAATGAAAAATGCTGTGTGGACCATGCAGGTAGTGTTGCTATGCAAACAAACTTCTCTTCTGTCATTCATCTCAGTAAATTTGAGGAGCAAATAAAATATGGGAGGACAAGCAGGCAATGAGAGTACAAAGATCTGTAACAGAAATGGCAGCCATGTTTATCTAGTAATGGCTTTGAATAAGTACATAATTATGTGCTGTTGTCTTAGTTGAGATCTTACTCTGCGGTCAAAATCACATATGGAGTAGCTGTGTCTTTTCTGGATGATGTGCTGCCTCATCATATTGCACTTTGTGTATACAGTTAGCTGACAGTGGTCTAAAGAAAATTGGCTACATATTTCTAATCGCCCAAAAAAAATTCCCAAGGTAATAGTTGCTATTATAGATCTTAAAAAAAAATCCAAAGTTTGCAGGAAATAAAAAATTAAAAATATATATTTCAATACTTGTTTGTTTCATGTAATATGCACTCAGGATTGTGAAGGATAAATTCTTACCTTTATTTCCCCAATATAGGTATCTTGATTATCCAATACTGGGCCTTTTGAAAGATCCTAAACTTAGTTCACCTGGTAGAGAATTGCAGACTGTTTTCATTGAAAAGGGCCGGAAACTGTAAAGCAGGTAAGTTAACATTATTATCTTCAATTGTCTCAAACCCACACAACATCATGGTCCTTATTTCTTAGAAAGCTTGTAGGAAGAGTAAAATGTGGAAATGTATAAACTTAAATACAAATATTTAAGTATGTTTGGAATATAAAAGGTAAGGACTGGTCTGCAGTATTGAAATTCACCAAACTCTTCTCTTTTTGTTTTCACAACAGGAATTCATTTCATGAAATTGAAGAGCAGTGTTTACCATTTTGAAAGAGAAGTTACTCAACATGTTTTCTATTCTATGATGGCCTCTTTTACCTTGTGATTAAAAGTTTTTAAAATCATCAAATAATGCTGACTGTATTTTTATGGGTCTATTAAGTTAACTGTTTACTTCTACTGCTGTTAAAAATATTGGAAGCTTTGGGTGTGAGGGTGTAGCTTTTTAGCTCGCAAGCAAAAAAGATTTCATAGTAGAGTTAAATATGAATTTGGTGTGTGGTGTAAAGACTTAAGAATGTAAACGCTAATAAGAAACAGTGCAGTCGGGTATGAATGTTATCTGAAATGTGAGCTGCTACCACATGCAATCATAATTATGGTTAGTTAACTAATGCAAAAGAAATTCAAAATTTTGCTGTTTTTTAAACAGATCCCATTTTTACATTGCGCAATTGGTTTTGTTCATTGTGCAAATAATTGAATACTGTAATTGAGAATTAATTTGTTTTTATTAGCATTTTTATCTAACAACAGTTTTCTATACAAGCAAGCTGAAACAACCTAACTACTGTTACAATGAAAAGACAACATATAGATGGTGACAAAACTGAGCAGAGTTTTATCATCATATCATATCATAGAATCCCTACTGTGTGGAAACAGGCTCTTCGGCCCAACAAGTCCACACCGACCCTCAGAGCATCCCACCCAGACCCATCCCCCTATAACCCACCTAATCTACACCTCCCTGAACACTATGGGCAATTTAGCATGGCCAATCCACCTAACCTGCACATCTTTGGACTGTGGGAGGAAACCCACGCAGACACAGACAGTTGCCCGAGGCTGGAATTGAACCCAGGTCCCTGGTGCTGTGAGGCAGCAGTGCTAACCACTGTGCCACCGTGCCGCCCTTCTTCAGTTTCTGAATGGTAGCAATCTTTGTCAGTTACATTTGTTTTAAGTGTATGGGAGGTGTTTTCAACCAAGATATGGACAAGTCAAAAAGTTAGATTGGACAACATAGATTTGGAAGTAGTAGATACAGAACAGCATTGCTTTACATTTGTGATTACTCCTTTTTAGTGGAATTCAGAACAATGGTATACAAGTTTGCCAGAGAATGGAAGTATTGGCAATGACTGATCAAGTATAGAATCATAGAATTCCCACAGTGTGGAAACAGACCATTCGACCAACCCTGCATTTTCCCATGGCTACTGCACCTAACCTACACATCCCTGAACACTATGGGTAATTTAGCATGGCCAATCCACCTAACTTGCACATCTTTGGACTATAGGAGGAAACCCACAGAGACATGGGGAGAACGTGCAAACTCCACACTGTAACCCGAGGCTGGAATCAAACCCACATCCCTGGCACTGTGATGATGTGGTTGTGCCGGTGTTGGACTGGGGTGGACAAAGTCAGAAATCACACGACACCAGGTTATAGTCTAACAGGTTTGTTTGAAAACACAAGCTTTCGGAGCTTCAGTCCTTCTTCAGGTGTTAATGAGAGAGGTAGTATCAGGCAGAGATTTAGAATTAAAAGATCAAGGTTCATACCATTGATGAGAATATACAAAACAAACCTCTTCTTTACACTGATAAAACCTCTTGGTCTCTCAGGACCATGACTTGAAAGGAATTTGGGGATTTACATATACATATTAATCAATTAAAACCTTCTAACTGATTAAAGATTTAACAGCATCTTAGGTTTGTTTAGTACCTCCTGATCAATGGTATGACCCTTTGATCTTTACTTATAAATTCTGTGTCTGACACTACCTCTCTCGCTAACACCTGAAGGAGGGTGAGCGAGGGTCCGAAAGCTTGTGTTTTCGGATAAGATAACACAGTGTGGAGCTGGAGAAACACAGCAGGCCAGGCAGCATCAGAGGAGCAGGAAAGCTGATGTGTCGGGTCGGAACCCTTTCTGAAGAAGGGTCTCGACCCGAAACATCTGTTTTCCTGCTCCTCTGATGCTGCCTGGCCTGCTGTGTTCCTCCAGCTCCACGCTGTGTAATCTCAGACTTCGGCATTGGCAGTTCTTACTATCTCTGTTTTCAAATAAATCTATTGGACTATAATCTGATTTGGCTTTGTGAGGCTGCAACGCTAACCACTGAGCCACCGTTCTGTACTTTATAAAAATTGGAGGAGCTTCTGTTCTGAAGATGTTTTGATTGCTCAAAACAGTTGAGAAGTGTGGTGTTTTTGATTAAGAATTCTTGTTATGAGGATTGTTGTATGTGACTAAGGCTAGTGATCTCAGAATTAGACTTTAAAAATTGTATAGAAATTCTTGGTGACCCAAAGAAAGGGCATTCAAGAGGATTAAATTCTATTTATATTTAAGCAACCAATTTTATGCCAGTCGAGGACTGAACAATGCTTTTTGAAAATTCATATATCTTAATATACAAAAACCAGGATGATTTCAGATTAACAGATCAGTAATTTGTCAAATCGCCTTGGTTCTTTATTTGTAAACAGTGAAACCAATATGATTCAAATGTTATGTTCAGTTTTATTCTTAGTTCATGAAGTGTAAAGTGGACTTTTTTGTCCTTTCATTGCTGAAGTTATTTTCTGCATGCAGTCTACTCTTAATTATAGATTTATTTTTAGTGCAAAACAACTTTGAAACATTAGACTGTTACTTTACCATCAATGGGGATGAAATGTGTATGAGTTCCAACTCCAAGATGACACCCGGACTGAATATCTGAGCAACATACAACACAGGTCCATTAGCAAACTGTATAAATATAGCTCATTTTCCATTTTAGAACGCTGTACAATTTATTAAGAGAGAAGTAAAATACTATATTTCGTGTTGATACAAATAAATGAATTTCTATGTTGTTGGGAAATCTTCCTATTGTGTGCTTGGAGGCTTTTCTGAACTGCCTGACCAAGTAACTAAAACTACAGTAGGAAGCTAAATGTATTTGTGGAATCCCATTAATAAAGAAAACGTTAGACTGCCTCTTGACTCAGTTTATTATTTCTTTCGTGACTGTTTTTAGTGTTAATTTGAACGTGAACATAATATCTTAACCGTTGCTCTACTGCAAGATTAACCTAGGCTGGCTGGTGCAGCACATTGCTACATTTTATCTATGCTTATCTGTATAAATAAAAGCAACATACTGTGGATGCTGGAAAACTGAAGATGCTAGAGAAACTCAGCAGGTCTGGCAACATCTGTAGAGAGAGAAACAGAGTTAATGTTTTGAATCCAGTATGGCTCTTTAGAAGATTTTGATGCTCATGATCCCTGACAAGAAAAAGAATTTTCTTTTTGAAGTATTAATGAGACCAAGAATGAAAGGAAATATAGACAGCTTTGTGATAGAGGATGGTGTTGCTGAACGGAGTGGTTAAGAGCATAATTTTGAATCTCCGGATAGGTAAATGCAGTGCTTCAAAGCACAGTAAATAGCCTGGACATACAGTCTGGTCCTGCTCCCATCCCTTATTAGTGACCCTTGTTCAGCCTCGTTCTCTTACACCTTTCTCACCTTCCCACATATCCCGCAATTCCAAGATTTCTCATCCTAAATACATTCAAATATGGAGCATCCACAATCCACAACACCCTTGGGTGGATTATTCCAACATCGTTTAAGCAAAACAAAATCTCACCTTAGTCCCAAATTAAATACCTGTAATTGTGGGTGATCTGAAACATGAAGGATGGAGGTTCAATTGAAATCCATGTGAAGTCACTCAAGAGTTGGAGCAGGTTGCTGAGGAAAGACACTTGGCTGGAGTTCTGCTGGATATCTGATCTAACACAAGAAAGAAGGCTGAAAGCAATAAAGTTGAACAATGATAAAGGAAGCAAATGTAAATTTTGAGAGGAAAACCATGACTTCTCCAAAGGTGGGAATTCCTGGTGAAGAAATGGCAGTGAGTTAAACATTGATGTAAAATCAAAAATGTTGTGAATGCTGAAAATCGGAAAATGGTAGAATTTATGGAGTGAGGCTGTTTAATGGATTTGTTTCTCGCCAAATCAAGAGGATTTGGGAACCTTTAAAAATATCATCAAGATGGCGATGGAGTAGGATTCCTGAGCTCATTTGCTCTGACCACTTCTCTTTTCTCTCTTTTTTTCCCTTTACTTACTTTGTCTTGAGGTTGTTTATGCCAATCAGACCTCCGGAAAAAGGGAGTTAAAAAAAATCCTTGAAGGATAATCCTGTGAGATTTAACAATAACAGCTTGTTTTGGTGGACAAGGACAACATTTGTAAGAGTAAAATGAAATAAAATTTGACATTCAGACTCGAGCAATATTTCCTTGCATTGGGACTTCGAATACCCAATCTGTTACTAGTGATAGTGATTAAGAATGATCTGAAAATCTTGCTTAGTTGAAATCTTAGGCTGACTGGAGTTTGACTGGAAAGTTTTACTATGCCAGGGGTAAAGATTATGGAACCATTGACACATCTGCCTTGTGTTGCTCTGAATTAGTTGTCTCTAATGCACTCATAAAATTGTTACCATGGTGAAGGCGGCCATTTGGCCTATCATGTTTACACCAGCTCTCTGAATGAGCATTATGACTTAATGTCACTCCCACCTTCTTCCCATAACACTGCACCTTATCTCTCTTTAACCAATCATCTAATGCCCTCTTAAATGTTGTTGACCAGCTTCCACCAATTTCTAGACAGTGCATTCCAGATCTGAACCACCCACTGCATTAAAATATCTTCTCTCATCACATTTACTTCTTTGCAAGTCAATTTTTTTTTTCATACAGCACGGAAACAGACCCTTCGGTCCATACCGTCTCATTCTTGATCAATTTATGAATGGGAAAAGCATCTACTCTGTCATGACTTTGAGAGGTTCAATCAAAACTCATCTTAGCCTTCACTGCTGCAAGGAAAACTGTCCTAACTTTTCCAGCATCTCAAAGCTCTTCTCACTTTCCAATGCATTCACATCCTTCATGTGCTCAGATATTAGTTGGACCTCAGCTGAGTATGGTGTGCGGTTCTGAGGCAGCTACAACAGTGTTCATGTTCTTGTATTCTATGACTGTATTGATAATCCTGAGATACCGCATGCTTTATTGATTACACTCTCCACGTGTCCTGTCTTCTTTAATGACTTATACAAATATATACCTAGCTCTTACTGCTTCTGCACACACTTTAGAATCATACCTTCTATATTGTCTCTCCGTGTTGTTTCTCCCACGATGTTTCACCTCTCACTTCTTTGCATCGAACTTCACCATACATCTATCTGTCCACTCCACCAACTTGTTAATTCTTTTTCAAGTTTTATAATGTCCTCTCCACGGTTTACAATGCTTCCAAGTAGTGTATTCCCTGCAAATTTTGAAAATATACCCTGCACTTCAAATCTCTAGATTTATATATATATCAAGAAAAGCAAGGGTCCTTATAAATCCCTGGGGAGCTCCACTCCAAACCTTCTTCCAGCCTGAAAAATACCCATGAGCCATTACATTTTGTTTTCTATCCCTAAGACAATTTTGTATCTGCATCGACACTGCCCCTTTTAATTCCATAACCTCTCAAGTTTGTGATATGACACTGTATCAAATGGCTTTTGGAAGTCTGTGCACACCACATCTACATTACCCTCATCCACCTAATGACATAAATAACCCCATCCCTAAATTTGATTGCGTCTAGGACCTATAGGTATACTTACAGCCTGCTCTATTTCTGTTGTTGGTGAAGGCATGTTGAATTTTTGGGCTGATTAAAATAACAAACTTGATTGGTTCGTTTTATCCAGTCTAATTGAATTAGTTATGGAGTAAATGATTTGACAATAACACAGTAATCCATAACAGATTTTGGAACATTCAACTCTTACTGTTCGTATAATCTCTGCTCAAGTACTGCAATGTTTTGACAAAATAGTTTCGTATGGTGAAGGTCATCTGATCTCAGTTCATCCATTCAGAAAATGCTAGAGTTCTCCAAAGTAACACCCAATGAACTCTTAAATGTTTCCCAATTTTTCACCATCTTTCCATCTGGAATTCCACTGGTTGTGCTTTAAACTAAGTACTTCCTTATATCAGCTCTACATTTAAAGTTATAACCTTTGTTTTCCTGTTCTCCCAATTTAAATTAACTGATATTCCATAAATACCATTTCCATTGCTTAGGTTCAAATGTTTCTGGGGCATCCTGCACTGCAAAAATTCTGATCTAATACCCTGTTCATTTTCTTCCTCTCCCAGGAATATAGCCTCTATCGGCATTGTAGGAATTCTACGATTGTAACCCTTAATAACAACGCTTTGAAACAAACATTTCAAGATCCAAGGAAAAAAGAACAGAGGACAGCTTTTCCTCCAAAAATGTATCTTTTCATCTCATTTGGCCACCCAATTGAACTAGTGGTCCAAATCTAAATAGAGCATGGCACCTCCCAAAAGCTAGTCTACCAGGCTATCAATCAAACCAAGATGCTGCTTCAACCCATTCAAAATTGCATTAAGGCCTTGTCTGGGGGAAGGAATTTCAGAGGGAAGTGTTCTAAAGAAAAACAAAACTCGTATTATAATAAGAAACTGTTTGTTAAACAGAATTACCTCAAAATTGAAAGTAGCATTTTTAATTTGCTCATTCTAGCATTGTGATTTCTTACAAAGAGCTTAGAAATATTCCACAGGATTACAACCAGAAAAACGTGCACAATATTTGTAAAAATACAAGATATGATTTTGCATGAAAGTAGTTTCAGAGAATTCCACATGTATCTTTACCACACACAAAAGTTTACACCCATTGCTATAACGTGTACTTTGTACTTTTTATTGTAATTGTGTTATCCACAATAAAATTACATTATTTCTTCTACCCATCTTAACTTTGCTGGATTGTAAACAAAGTTCAGCTAAATTGGATTAACCTGCCTTAGGATTTGAATATATCCATTATGAAAAATATTCCACGTACTCCACCCAATGTAGACATTTGAAAAAGAACACATCCTCAGATAACATGCCCTACTGGTTTTCCAAGTGTTAGGTTAAACAAGCTGTATGACATCTGATGACCTCCAGGCAATTTGTTTTTCACAATTCATGTATTGTGAATGTAAAATCTAGTGTTACAATCACCTAGCGACACACCTAGTGTAAAATTACCAACCTCTAATCATCATAAATTTCCCTTGAAAATATTTAGACGGCACATAACCTTATTCTTCTCTTGTAACAAGCTTAAATATTTTATAGCGATATTCTCTTTGTGATAGTATCAAAAATAAATCTTTTGGATTGTTAAATGAGTTTTCAGTGTGGAAATGCAAAACTTAATAGTCCTACACATGCTATGGATGTGTCTCTTAAATGAGCATTTAGACATCAAAATGCACTGAGCTCTATGACCAAATAAGAAATTGCACTCTAATTCTTACTAATAGGAAATTTTGAGGTGAATGATAGGCATTAATAGAAATATTGTATTTCAATACAAAAAAGGGAGCACAATGAGAAGGGGATATTGTATGGTTCACCAAGATCTACCTCAGAATTGTTTTTCTATTTCTGAGAGATAGTGTTTTTTTTTCTGATGTTGTCCTGAGAAAAACAATTATTTATACAATTGGAACCTAAACTTGTTGGTCATAGTTGATATTATAACCCACAATTTTTTAGGGAAGGAGGATTAATCTGGAAAAACACTCAAAAGGTAATATGGAGCACCGATGAACTGGAAATAATCAATGGCCAGGAAAGCAGTAAATGAGCAATTGCAGGCTTCAAAGATGGAGATCGTTCAGGGACAAGTCAAGAAAATTTCCATTAAGAGGAAAGGTCATCTAATACTTGAGCTCACTGAAGTTAGATTAACATGAAACAGAAAAAGGGTTTATGACAAATGTTTAATACAAAGTAGTGTGTTCAGTGCGCTAACTGAGAAAGGGTCAACAAGGTCAATGAGAGAATGAGAAAAGATTAACTGTTAATAAAAGGGAA